ATAAAAGAATATTTTAGTTAAGGGTTGTTGGGTGAATATCATTGATGCATTTAAAGTGTTCTAACATTATCTTTTGTTACACTTTTTATCAAGATACTCCTAAATATACTCCCATCATCCACAATTAGTTCACTGCATTCACTTGCTCTATTAATGTGATTTGGTTTCACATGAATTCGAGGGGATGAGTAATGGCGATGAAGGTGGTCGAGATAGTGGTGGTGACATAGGGCATTGATGGAGGTATTGAACTCTGCAATGACCTTCGCTAGTGGTGGTTCGGTCTTTGAGACATTTTATAGAACAGTTGGTGATCGATCATGATGGTGATGAGTTGTGATTGAGAGAAGCTACAAGTAGGGGAGGTGTGGGGTATGATTGAGAGTATTGGGTGGAGTTGCATAAGACTTGATGTGATTGGTTATTGGGGACGAATGTGAGTAGGATTATAATTGGTTAGAGCAGATGAGGAAAAGTTTGTGGTGCCTAAGGGTGAGGGATTAAGGAGGTTGCAGGGCTCAGAGCTAGCTTGAAGCAGTGCAAGTTTGGAGCTGCCCGAAGGGGATGAGTAGAGGTTGGGATTGAGAGGAGTTGAGGTTGCTGAGTAAAAAGCTGACGGTGAAGCGATCGAGGGAAAGGATGAAGATGAATTTTATGGTGAAACCTCCGCTTCCTAAAGTCGAGGAAGAAGGATGAGGTATTTCCAAGATGAAGAATAGCTTTGGCATGTTAAGTATAGAGCAATGGGGGAAATGGATAATATCCTTCATTATATTAAATGTGTTTATATAAAAGAGTAAGATGAGTTGTTCTAATATTCTAAGGAATATTGAACTAAAAGAAAAGAGTAAGAGGATTAGTTATCTACAATATTTAACACACTCTCCCTTTTTCCTAATATTTTTCTTTCCCAACTCCCAAACAGACCCTACCTGAGCACCACTATTTTACTAGTTTTTGTTAGCTAATGAAACATTTAGATGAATATTGGTTAAGGCAAACATGAACTCACTTCTTGCTAGTTTTAGTAGGCACATTACATCGCGAAGATTTAATTAATTGTCATTGAGTATTTTAATTACTTCAAATTCACCTAAATAATAAAGGTTCTTTTTACCTTTATATCTCCAAATCTACATTATTTGATGATACCCTCCTAGCTGATTATATTTGGTAGTTAGGATAGTAGAGAGATTAGAGAGGAGAGAAGTATAGAAAATGGTAGATTTGGAATTAAGAAAATACAAGGGATAGATTTAATAAGTTTAGAAATATAGAGGGGTTTCACATGATAACTAGTCAAACTAGGGTCAACACTTACTTTCGATGCTTTTCTATAGGAAAATTTACGTCTAGGTCCCAAACTAAAAATAATCATGTGACCTAGCTTATTAAACAATGTCAAATGTGTTTAAAAGCCTCTTTTTTTAACTTTTCTTTCTTCAGCCTCTTCTTTCTTTCTTATTGCTAAAATATGCTTATCTTCTTCCTCTTCTATCTCTTTCCTCCTCATGTCAACAAGTTTCTTCTATTCTTTCTCCTTTCTTCTCTCTCTTCCATCCTATCTCCTCCCTTTTCTCTTCCTCTTCACTCTATCTCTGTCCTCATCCTATCTTCATTCTTCTCTCTCCTTGACCTATAATCTTCTCTCCTTCTCTCTTCTTCATATCATGCTTATTCTCTCATATCATCTCTCCTCCATCTTAACTCCATTCTTGTCCTTTCTGCTTCACTTTTCCTTCTCCCTCTCCCCTCTCATCAGTCTCATCTTTACTTTCTTCGTCCACTCTCCACTTTTATCTTCATCTATCTTTTCTCCCATCCTTCATTTTATCTCCACCTTCCTCTGCTTTCTTACATTCTCCTTTATCCCACAATAGTTGTAGCGACACTAAAATATTCATCTTTGCTTAAACAGATCATATTCTAAAGTCACATTGAAGTTAACACTCAATAATTAAACTTAACATCTATCACTCAAACTTAACACCTAACGGCTAAACTTAACATTGAATCTTTAAAAGCTAGGTGTTAAATATAACTATTGAGTATTAACTTTAATTGTTAGGTATTAACTTTGGCATGACTTTAAAAGATTTCCCATTTAAGTTAAAAATGATAGTCTTTGAATATTGTAGCGACACTTTTAGTAGAAGGAGGAGATAAGATTGGAGAAAGAGGAAAAATGACAGAAGAGTGACTATGGACGGTAAAAAAATAATAACTGAGAAATAATGTGAAGAAAGAGGAGGAGGATGTAATGAGAAAGGTGATGGTGAAACAGATAATGGGTGAGAAGAAGAGAAAGAAGAAGGAAATTTTTTTTCATGTGTTCATGAGAAAAGAAAGGGGAGATAAGTGGTTGAGGTTAAGGGTAGTTTGATGATGAAGAAAAATTATTTCCCTCTCTACTCAAGTGGCAACATAAAAAGAGGTTTTTCATAAGAGAAGGTGGGTCAAGGAGGGAAAACTCACATAAAAAAAAAACAAAAGGTATGTAGCAGATGTGATTTCTTAAAAAGGGGCTTATACGCAAAAATTTCTTTTCTACATCAAAAAGGAGTTTGAAAGCTTTAATCATTAATGAATGATTCATGTTTATGAGTCAACAACATTATATATCCATACAACATAATGGTAAGATGAACTAATTCATTTAGCAATTAAATTTTGCGTATTTTAGGTTCCTAACATTAACACACACACACTAAAACTAAAGGGTTTACTAATGCAGAATGTCAGTTCATAGCTACAGCTGCTATGTTAGATTGTTAGTGAATATTTCTACCAAATTATTTTTGAGGTAAATTAGCTGATTTGATTGGAGCTTTTTATAGCATGAACATGAAGGTCTCGGGTACAAAGCCGCTGCCCAGCGCATCTTATTTTTCTTCCATAGGTGTGTACTCGTAAAGAAATATTTTTACAAATCAGCCAAAAATGCCAACTAATTACTTTTAAGCCTAAAAATTACAATAAAAATTATATATAAAGGAGATATTTTCTCTATAAACACAGTATTCAATTCAACTTAATTTGTAACCCAAAACCCTCCCACACCCAAACTATTATATCAACTTTACTCAATAATATAATAATATAATAATATAATAAACTATAATATAAAAGGTTTTGTGGCTTATAAACCCAACTTCTACCCCATTTATAGTTTAACCCGCTCATTTTAAAAATTACTTTTAGTGCAAAATATTTCAGTAGACAGTCTGGGTTATATTTTATTGTAAGTTGTTATTTAATTATACTATATATTAAGGTTAGAGGGAAACTAGGGAGTTGCACTCTTTATATCTTCTCTATTGTAAATAAGGTTATTTTGCCTGTAGATCCAAGCAGTCTTGACTCCATTCATGTTTAAACCCACCTACTTCCAAAATCATTCATAGACTTGGAATACTCAATTTAATATTTTTAAACCTACTCTGTATTTTAGTACTTATATACTCAATGAAAGTTATTGTATTTTTTGTGATTTGCATACTTTTGTTTTAAGTGGTTATGTGTACAATATATTTCTAAACTAAATTCTTAAATTATTATTTCTTTGTGCCTTTTTTTTCACACCAATATCTCAACATAGTGAAGAATACATAGTTTTTTTTGCCTATAAACCCAAAATTTTGCCTTTTTATTTATAAGCTCTAGCTTATTAACTCAAAAATTTACCCCCATTTACTTTTGACCATATCCACTGCCAAAAGGTTTTTTTCACTACAAATCCAAAGTGTTAGCCCCATCTTTGTTCAGATCTACTTATTTCCAAAATCACTCTTAGAACAAAAATAATTTTAAATCCACTTTTATCTCATCAGCTAAGTATTTAATAAGTTGTTATATTTTGTGAAAAGTTGCTATATTTTTTTTTGTAAATTATTAGATATTCATGTATATTCAAACCAAATGCCTAGGCCATTTCTTGGTGTCTTCACACAAGTGTCTTGGCATTGTGGACTATAGGTTAGTTTGTTGCGTGTGAATCCAAAGTTTAACCCCTATTTATATTTAAACTTTCCCCACTTTCAAAAAACAATTTTATGCCTGCAAACCCACCATTTTACCATATTTTTAAAGTCGTAAACTTCCAAAATATTTCTTATACCTAAAATATACCTTCAAATTAATCTTAAATTCACTATATGTTTCAGTAGTTTGATATGGACATAACTTGCTGCATTTTATTTTTAACTTATTGTAATTTTGCTCTATGTTATAAGGTGCATAATGCATTTTTAAACCAAAATTTTTACACTAATGTCACGTCATCGCGAACTATAACTTGATTACTTGCTTACAAACCAAAAGTTTTATCTCAATGTATTTTTAATGTCACTCACTTCCAAAATAGGATTTTTTTTCCATACGGACCAAAAGTTTTACCAAAATTTATTCTTGAACCCACCAACTGTCAACATCACTCTGATAATCAAAATACTCTACATAATTAATCTTAAACTCATTTTGTATTTCAACATCTTAGCATAGTATAAGATACTCCGTAACTTGCTATGTATTTGTTCTAAGTAATTACATATATTCGGTGTATTTTAAACCCAATGTATAAACCATTAAATGGCTTCTTTTCACATCAATACCGCGACAATACACGGATTAGTTTTGCTCGTTTACGAGAAAAAATTTGCGTACTTAGGTTAGCCATCTCTTTCTTTCTCATAAATGTCAACTTTGTGCCTTTGTCTACTTCTTTTCTTCTAAAAGGATATTATGACACAAGCTCGTAAAATTTTAATTGACTTTTTAAGACGCGACAAAGACAAATCTCTCAAAGTCTCTTTCAAGATTTTTATCCAAGAAAGGTCTCCACCAACAATGTATTGACAATGAGGTAAGGCCCTCTCGGTGTATATGACTTTTTAATAAATTTATATCAAATTGCACTACAACCCTCTACGTGCCAAAATAAATTTTAGAAATATGAAAAGAAAAAACATACGGATAAAACAAATGCCGGCTATAAGGAGTACCTGAAGATGGCTTGAAACAGTAAACCCACCCTTCTTCCCACCGGACATATCAAACCTCAGCTTCTCCTCTGGCGGCAGAGCGAAGAACTCCCGGGCAAGCCTCATCATGTCTGCAATGAGTCCCGCATCAATACCGTGGTCCACCACCTGAAAAATCCCCCACTCCTCGCAAGCCTCCACGATCTTGTTGCGTATCTTCTCTCGTTTACCCTCGACTGCATCATCAATCCCCTTCAGTGATATGATCCGGATTTCGTCGCTGAACTCGTTGTATGGGACCTTCGGTCGTTCATCTTCGTCACGAACGAAGCTCGGCCGTAGTGTCTTCTCATCGGTGCTCGTCGGGAGAAACAGCGTTGTCATATCTCGCTAACTTTAAAATTTAACTTGTGGTGGCACTAGTTTTGTAATGGGCTAATTATAGTGCAAAGTTTGTGAGCTTATAACATGGAAAGGTGGTTGTGGCAACTGACCTACCACTTGTTGGAGCTCCAAATGAGTCCGATACTCCCTCGGCCTCTCCTCATCAATCAGACACTCGTCGTATCGGCCGGAGAACTGTGGAAAACAAGTGAAAAACGCCCAACACTTGTAGACCTGTAGCTGCTGTCTGACGTCAGGGAATCCTCGCCCCTCCCACTTGCCATTCTCAAACAACTGTAGTAGTCTTGGAATGGACTCCTGCTTTGTACATAGGCTTCTATTGTCCAGATATCGTTGTTCATTTGTCCAACATGAGTTGGGGTGATTAATTCGGGTGGTTGTTGGGATGAATGAAGGATGGAGAGGCGCGTGTCACTCTACCATCCGCTCACCTAACTTTCCACGAGAATATTAGGAGGATTTTACCATCACAACGCATTTGGCATATATCGACACCTTGCCCATTTACTCGCCCACTTGTTATAGAGGAGTTATGCTATCATAATTTTAAGGGAAAAATGCTTCCAGCCCCCAAATTCGTAACAAATATGCTTCCCCCTCCCAAGACTTTTTCAACGCTCTAAAAACCCCCAAATTCGTAATAACTGTGCTCTGAGCCCCCAAAACACAAAGCCCAAGAATTTTACACAGGTAAAGACTATAATACCCATTCTCTCTCTCTCTAATATTATATTCGTAATAACCATACAATCCCTCCTCTCTCCCTCCTCCTTCCCCCACCATTTTTGCCCTAGCCCCCTCCGTCCCTTCTGCAACCCTCGTGGCGGCCGAAGCTCCTCTCCGGTCTCACGCCTCGACCCCTCGCCTCCGCTCGCCGAGATCCTCCGTGTCCACCGCCGATCCCAGCGCGGCCTCCGCTCGACCCCTCGCCTCTGTTCCCAACCCAATCCCTCCTCCCCCAGACGCCACATCAAACCCCCCTCTCCATCCCTCAGGTCCATCATCCCCCACCATCTATAGTGCTGTCGTTCTTGGAAATTATTGTACTTTATGTCTTTTCATACAACTTGTGCATGTGTGTTAAATATTTCATTCATCTTTTTCTGCAGGGAAATTTATCGTGGTTGTTAAAGTTATACGCGTTGCTTATTAAGGTTACGTGTTGGTTGTTAAGGTTATACGCGTTGCTTGTTAAGGTTATATGCGTTGGTTGTTAAGGTTTCGGGTTGCTTGTTAAGTATGCGGGTTGCTTGTTAAAGTTACGCGTTGGTTGTTAAAATTAACCGTAACCTTAACAAGTAATCCGTAACCTTAACAACCAACGTGTAACCTTAGCAAGCAACCCGAAACCTTAACAACCAACGCGTATAGCTTTAACAACCAACACGTGATCTTAACAACCAACGTGTAACCTTAACAAGCAACCTGTAACCTTAACAACCAACACGTAAATCGTTTGGCTTTTGAAAATTCGTAACATTAACAACCAACGCGTAACCTTAACAAGCAACCCGAAACATTAACAAGCAACCCGAAACCTTAACGAGCAACCCGAAACCTTAACAACCAACGCGTATAACTTTAACAACCAACACGTAACCTTAACAACCAACGTGTAACCTTAACAAACAACCTGTAACTTTAACAACCAACACATAAATCGTTTGGCTTTTGAAAATTTCATTAAAATTAAAAGTGAAATATTATTACAAAATCTAGCTCACTCCCACTACCTAAAACAAATGTATGCATCATCGTCTTCTTCCTCTACCCTGTCAACGGTCTCAAAACCATGGCAGTCCACCTCCTCAGTGAGTGTTGAGTGGTAAAATGAAAGTAATCATACATTGCACAGTTTTATGTGGTGCTGTAAGCATGAATTTTCTGAAGGAAAGTGTAGAATTGTTACTGCTTTTTATTTTATGAAGTTATGAATTATTATAGTAGAAGTACAAAAAATTAAAGCTTTTTTTCTATTTCCTTCCTTTTTTTATTTTTATGAAGGTTTTACGAGTTGCTTGTAAAGGTTACGAGTTTGCTTGTTAAGGTTACACGTTGGTTGTGAATGTTACGCGTTGATTGTTAAGGTTACGGGTTGGTTGTTAAGGTTACGGGTTGGTTGTTAAGCTTAATCTTCACAATCAACGCGTAACCTTAACAAGCAAACTGTAACCTTAACAAGCAACACGTAACCTTAACAAGCAACCCGTAATCTTAACAACCCGTAACCTTAACAACCGTAACCTTATCTGCAAATAGAAAAGATAACTATCATTGGGTACATGTATATTAAACGTGAAGAAAGAAAATACCGTTGATGCAAGAGAGAAGAGGCATTCTTTTTCGAACAGGAAAACTTATTTTGAAGGGGGAAATTAAAAAAAGAAAAAGATCCCAAAAAGAAAACATATGACAGGAAGAAACTCTGTTGCTAGTAAATCTAGATGCATTAGTTTCAGAAGCTACAAAGCAACATCAAGTTCGCACGTGTCATTACGAGATCAATTCAATCATTAGTCATCTCTCTGCTCCACTTCGCTAGGTTGCGCTCCAGTTTGTGTGCATTCTGGTGTCCTCCAAGAGCTTGGGTGCTGTAAAAAAGTCCGTCTGCAATAGTTACACGAGAAAACTCGTGCGTGCTCGGGACGAGGCCCAGGCTGCAGGGACAGGTTAAGGTTGAGGTTCTGAGCTTCATGAAATATTCTCGGCGAGCAAAGGCCGAGGGGTCGAGCGAGGGGTCGAGCGGAGGCCGCGCTGGGATCGGCGGGGGGCACGGAGGATCTCGGCGAGCGGAGGCGAGGGGTCGAGGCGTGAGACCGGAGAGGAGCTTCGGCAGCCACGAGGGTTGCAGAAGGGACGGAGGGGGTAGAGAGAGAGAATGAGTATTATAGTCTTTACCTGTGTAAAATTATTGGGCTTTGTGTTTTGGGGGCTCAGAGCACAGTTATTACGAATTTGGGGGTTTTTAGAGCGTTGAAAAAGTCTTGGGAGGGGGAAGCATATTTGTTACGAATTTGGGGGCTGGAAGCATTTTTCCCTAATTTTAATTCACGAATCTCCAGGAAGCTACGTTGTTTGTATCTTGTAGCAAAAAAGTTATTATATAAATTATGCTCGAGTTAATATTACTCATTATATATAGACTTTAAACCATGAAAACAAGAATTAAAACTTTTGACGATTTAGATAGTAAAGCCCTATAATTTTGTATACGCTCTGCATTTTTTAGTGGAAAAAGAAAAAAGAAGTTAAATGCTAAGAATTAGGATATGCATAGAACAAACTACAAGATGAGGAATTCTAATAATATATCACAGAAAACAACAGAGAATTTAATTAATAGTAACCGAAGGAAAGTGAGGATTAGAAGTGTAAATTAATATTGTAAACCATAAAAAACAAACATCAATATCATCCTTAGAGGGGAGGAGTAAATATTGTAGAGACAGTTTATACACAATTTATGCTAAGAAATCCATGTGTTAGTATATTATAATATTGTTAATTATTGTAAACCATTGTTTGGGTCAAAAGTTGATTTCATTGCCTTGAATCTATTACAACTTTAATCGTTACAATAAACTCGAATAAAAAGTTAATCTTTTTATAAGATCTCCTTACACAATGAAAATAAAAATTATAACTTTCTCAAACAACACACAACAGATGTTTATCGCCTGTTGTTTGCGTGGGATCTTTGCCTGTGCCGGGGACGTTGATATCCGTGGACCGTCGCGGATCAGATCCGGTTGGCAGAAAATTGACAGAGCTCCTACTTCACCAAGGAAGTATTCGCTTGAAGCTCTAAAATCGACCAAACGAAATCAGTAGCTCTTCTCGAGATTAAGACCCAAGCCTAATCTCGAGGAACGGACGGACGATGCTTCAGATCTCTCGAACTCTCCCTCTTTATGCTGAAGAACTTCGCCGAGATCAGTTAGCCTCCTCTGAAATTCGTGATCCTTTGACTCCTCAATCCGCCAGCACCTCCTCGTCTTGATAATATTCCGTCCCTGTGAAATGAGCCCCTAGACCTGTATTTATAGGCTTCGGTTGGGGGTATTTGGATGAGAATGAGCGATTTGGTCTTATCTTCAGTCAATAATGATCTAACCACGTTTGTGGATGATATCAACTCAGTTGGGAATCCCTAGACCAGATAAATCCTAAGAAAACTGCTCAAAACCGTCAAAAACGTGTTTGGGGATCAAAACAGCACGACGGACACTGGTGACCCGCGGGAGGCGCGGGTCGGCCGTGGCCGACCCG